TCAAGTTGATGAGAGAGTTCAAAAGATTATTGAACTTAAGAACAAGGTTGAGATTGCATAATCTGCCTTCGGTGGAGAATCTAATTGGCACATACTTCATTTAGTGTAAACAACTGTCATATACTTCGACATTTGTCCAGTCTTGTGACAATGTTCCAATTTGTCCCTTTTCAGGTTTGCTCGGGCAATGACAATAGTTTTGTTGTCATCAATCAAAAGGGTATAGACCCACCATCGCTCGATCTTCTTGCAAGAGCAGGGGTAGGTCTAGGACGAATCTGTAGCTTTTCTCCTCTGACGTATCAATAATTCTTGATCAACAGCATTGCGCTTTCTTTTGATCAATGTATTGAAGTGTATGGCTTTAAGCTTCTAGTCCGCTCTATCCTATAGATAATCAACATACTTGGAAAAATAAAATTGGGAAGTTCTGTTGATGAGACGCCAAACTGACATCCTGCCTTTTCTTGCTATAGTTCTGTTATGTTTTTCGTTCCTTTACAGTTTGGATTTTGATAGTGGGGAATTCTTTCATGGTGGTACCATCTTATTTGGTTAGTTTGTAATAATATTTAGATGCAATTATCCAGTGATTTGAGTAAGTTCATGGGTAACTTATGCAAGATGGGCAGCTAGAAGGCCAAAGTGGGCATATGCTCATTTCAAGTTAGTAAAAGAGAATAGTTTGCGCAAAATTATTGCGAACACCTGTCTTGGCCATGTTTCGCATTTGTTGCTGTTGAAAAGACATGACAGCTTGCTATTTCTATCTTGTTTGGCAAGTTGTACTTTTCATAATTTTATGGTCTGTCTATATCTCCTGTTACCTTATGTGCATGTTAACAAATTGTTTATATGCCCCCCGGACAAGTGCACGTTTAGCAACTTTTTCATTGAGATTAAGCAATGTCCAGTTTTTCAATTTTGTGCAGTGTGAAATGGCTAGGGTAGAGATTTCGTCTCACAGAGCGTTGTTTTCAGGAATGTTGTTCTAATTGTTGGGTTAGTTTGGAAAAAGGAATGGTAGTTAAGTGATTATTTTGCTTCATTGATGGGACATTTATTTTAAATGAGAATCACCCTAAAAGACCATTTCGGATTATTGTTCTTAGTAATCTTCATCATTGATATTATTGAGTTTCGGTCGAGATGCTCTGTCAATTCTGGTTGAATGTTCTTTTGTACTCTGTGCCACCATTTTGACCATATGTAGTTGTGTAGATTATTGCTCTTCGGAGAGCGAAGAGGAGAAATATGGAACGCTTGGTCTTAGCTTGTGGTGGCGAGGCTGTCAATTCAGTTGCTGATATTACTCCTGATTGCCTTGGTTGGGCTGGACTTGTCTATGAGCATATCCTTGGAGAAGAGAAGTACACGTTTGTGGAAAATGTGAAGAATCCACTTTCTTGCACAATTTTGATTAAAGGTACTAGAGGAAGCTTATAAATTTTGGTTACTTCAGACTATTAATTTTGCGTCTTGCCTCTTATTGTTTGTCTGATTTGTGCATTCAGGGTTTTAAGAGTCTGTGAAAACTCATTTATTTGTTCATATTCCAGGACCTAATGACCACACAATTGCTCAAATAAAGGATGCTGTTCGTGATGGTCTGAGAGCTGTCAAAAATACTATCGAAGATGAAGCTGTGGTACTGGTAAGTGCCTTTTCCGAATCGCCTGACTCTGGCAAGGGTCTGTAAGGAACATCATTCTCCTCTGTTTGATGGTTGCTTCTAGCTCTATAGCCATGTAACAGATCCAATTTATTTTATAATTGTGCATTCTCGATAAAAATAAATGACATGCAATTTTCGGATAATTCCGATGGGAAGACTTGAAGGCTCTTTTCTAAAGCTGCTTACTTTTATCCTGACTGAGCTCATTTTGGAACTGCCTTTGTCGATAAGGGGTTTTATCGACAACATGGATTGCTGATTTAAATATTTTGGGTTCAGGGGGCTGGAGCTTTTGAAGTGGCAGCCAGACAATTCTTGATGAATGAAGTGAAGAAAACTGTCCAAGGGGTATAAAATTGTAGCCATACAAATTCACGTAGACTCTTTGTTAATATTTGTGCATGTGGAATGGAAAAAAAGAAAACCACATCACTGTCTAGTTCAGTTGGAAGTTTGTCGTTATCTGTTCTATAAGTATTTGCTGTTTGTGAACTGAACAGCGTGCCCAGCTTGGTGTTGAAGCATTTGCTAATGCCCTTCTCGTGGTGCCGAAGACCCTTGCCGAGAATTCTGGGCTTGATACGCAGGACGTGATCATTTCTCTGACGGTATGATACTTTCTGTGGAATTTATTAGTTGACAGCATGGGGAATATGGAATGATCTGAATAGTTAGCTTTGTGTTCTTCTTTGATGGTTCTTCAGGGCGAGCATGATAGGGGAAATATTGTTGGCCTAAATCAGCACACAGGGGAACCTATTGATCCCCAGATGGAGGGTATCTTCGACAATTACTCTGTGAAGCGCCAGATCGTAAACTCAGGGTACATTGACATTTGTCCTTTTAAAAGCAGTTTGCGTAACATCTTTCCCATAGAAATGTGTTTCTGGTATTAAATCAGTTGAACCAACAGCCGAATAGAATTTCAAGTAACTGGCAACCTTCATGTGAAGAAACTAGCGCTAGGATTGTCTTGGTTTCAAACCTGACTTTGATGCGACAACGATAAGACAAGCCAGCAAAAATTAATTTATCCTATGTGTTCAATTTTAATATATGCTGTGGTTCTACAATGGGGACCAGTGGTCGTTTAGTGATTTTCCCTTTATGCTAATTACTTGTGAAATTGTCTTTTCAGGCCTGTCATTGCATCCCAGTTACTATTGGTGGACGAAGTGATCCGTGCTGGCCGTAACATGAGGAAACCTTCTTAGTGGATTCCATAACCGTATTTTTTTGGTGAATACTTTCTGAGGCTCGAGAAATTTACTGTGTGGAGTCCTTAGGCCTGAAGTAAAGGAGACCCCAGATGAGATTAAATTCCTGGAATGGGGTCAACTAGCAGTGATTGGCACCCTGACTAGAGCTATTTGATTTGCATTCTATACGAGTTTTGCCTTCTGGGGTGTGCCTTTGTCCGTGTTTTGTTCTTGTAATGCCTTCTTTGGGTGTCTGAATTATTTTCTTCTGCAGCAATTAGTATGTGGTATTTTATTTTTGCTGGACATACGTATTGAGAGACGGTACTTATTCTATACGGGTATTGATCTGCGTTGCTGTGGTGGATCTAACTGTTGAAGCTTATCCCCAGTGCTAACCTCCTTTATTCATATTATCTTTCTAATTTTACAGAAAATGCCCGTTAAGCCAAGCGAATTGTCGTATAACCTGGGGCCAGGGCTATGGTAATCGAACAGGTTTATCCTTTTTTATTCCAATGAGAATAGGATGTCCGTGGTTCTTTATAATGCTCAGCAAATCCTCATCTGGTGTAACATTCTTCTCATCCCATGTAGTTTGGTTAGTGAATTATATGCGACAGCAGATTATTTTCTATAAAACAAAAGTTTCAGTCGTGTAGCTTTTGCCCAAAGAACATTCTGCCACGTTCGAAAGGGTGCGGAATGATCGTGGGAATGCCGTGTCCCATAAAAGCCAAAATTAAAGATATGGTGCCAAGGCGACCGTCCTCCATAAGAAGCATCATCTTCAAACTGGCCTTTTTGCCGTCTCAATTCGCTAACTCACGGCTTTGAAGTTGGTGTGCCGATTGAGATGTTACCGTCTATCTGTATCCTCATTTGATCTCAACTCAATTTTCTGTACATTATCTTCTGCAGCATTTTCTCATGTATTTAGAGTCGCTTTCAGCGGAAAAGAAATAACTTCCGGTACAAGTTTGAATTTCAGCGAGCACTTCTGGCTTGTGGGTTTTGACGAATTGGCCTCGAATTGACTTGAAAATGTGAAACGCATCAAGGAACCCGGGAGAAATTATTGTCATGGAGAAAAAAATAAAATAAAAAACGATCGTGCTCTGCTCTCGCTGCGTAAGTGGATGACCGTCCAAGGCCTAAAGATTGCCTTCGCAAAGGAACAATCAATCATGATGGGGTCCATGCCGGTGGTCAATGCCAGTGTGGTCTTTCTTCCTTTTGGTAAGCCCAATGTGGCCGTCTCTGTCTCTCTCATCTCAATGGATTACCAAAACCCTTTTCCTTTTCGCTTTCCAGTAATTCCTCTTTTCACCCCGCTGTACTTTTGAGGTCCTCCACATCGGACCCTAAACTTCAAGAGTTAGTCATCTTCCCCCCCCCCCCCCCCACCACCCAATCAAACTTTTCAAGTGTTGCATTTTGCATCGCGTACTTTAACATAGGAGGGGTACATCCCAGTGGCCAAATTCGCGTATCAGAAACGAAATAGAAAAATGAGAGTGCTATGACGGTTTGAAAGTGTATTCGAGATGTAAAGCGTAACCAAAGGATTGATCGAGTCATAAAATCAACGCGGTTTGACTACAAAGGCTCGAGAAGCAGGAGGCTGTCGGGGGGGGGGGGGGCCACAATGAAACGACTTCCTGCAAATCTCTCACTTCCGACTTGGATTGCCTGTTCATGAATCCTGACCGGACCGGACCAGAGTGGTTGGCCTGTCTAGCCGACCCATAACATTATCATCAGGTGAACCCGACACATTAAAAAAAAAATTTGCAAAGTTGTAGTGTCTTGAAAGATCTGGAGTGCGGTTCTCAATATCCCACAATGGAATGGCTAAATTGAGAAATGTCCCCTCTTTTTGTGGGCCTTTTTCTTTTGGTAATGCAAAAATTCCAAAAGCTCGGTGAAGTGTTCTGCTTGTTTTGTGTTTTTCTTTGTTGGGCGCCCCCTTTTTTTCCACGTCCGTCCCTCCCGGCAATACGCGTCTTCGGCCACCTCATTCGATGAAAAGGGAGGACTCCTCCCGATTCAACCTCCTCCCCCGTATAAATTTGACTCTCGCGACGCCCCCTCACGGTCTCCCCTGTCCCTTCCCCCCGCTCACTTTCGCCCGGCTTTTCCTCTCCTCTCTCTCTCTCTCTCTCTCTCTCTCTCTCTCTCTCTCGCTGCTCCTGCGCTTCCGCGATCCCTAGCAGTCGAAGGTAACACACCCTCGCACATCTCCTCCTCCTCTTCTCTCTCCGTTTCGATCTGACCTTCGATCGCGCGTGAGTGCGTCCTTCGTCCTGCGATTCGGATTCGTTCGTTTAAATTCCAGATTGAGATTCGTAGTCATTCTTCGTGTTTGGATCTGAGCTTCCGGCTGGCGGTTCTGCGTGTGTGCGCGAGAGCGTTCGGCATGCGATGATCTGATTCTGATTTTGTGCGCGCGCGATTGGATCTGTCGAGTCTGTAATCCGTCGGGAGGCGAAAATGCGTGTTGAATGGGCTGGAATATTTTTTTTTTTTAAAATCTTTTTGAAATTTTTTGCTCGTGGAAATTCGTAAAAGATGAGTGGAATTATGGAAAGGGAAGCGGAATGATTTGGCGGTGATGATTTTCAAGTTTTGACTGTTTCGTGTGACCGATGAGAATGAGTACGATTCGACTTGGATGGAGTAATGATGAGTTGTTATCTCATTCTGCGTGTATGGCCGAACGCGAGCGAACGCGAATCACCTGATTCGCGTAGAGGACTTCCCTTTTTTGGTCCTGACCTAGCACGATGCGGATGATGATGTAGCCATGCCGACCTTTGATAGATCTGATATGGCATTAGCTCCAATTGATTTAATCTGCGGCGGCGATGATTTGGCGTGAAAGTCGTGCTTTGAATTAGGGGTATGTCTTGGGCTAGTAGAACGTAGCTCCCATTCCGCGAGTGAAACCATTCAAATGACCCCCGCGGTGGTAGCGAGAAATGATTCGCTCACAGTTTCTGATTTTGCGGAGTTTCTGTTCTGATGATCGAGACTAATGTGCCTTGTGTTGGCGGGCTTAGGCTTCGTAACGGTACGGCAAAGATGTCGCCCTCTGATTCTTCGCGGGAGGAATATGTGTACCTGGCCAAGTTGGCCGAACAGGCTGAGCGGTACGAGGAAATGGTGGAGTTCATGGAGAAAGTTGCCAAGACCGTGGACGTCGAGGAGCTGACTGTTGAGGAACGTAACCTTTTGTCCGTGGCGTACAAGAATGTGATCGGGGCCAGGAGGGCGTCGTGGAGGATTATTTCTTCCATTGAGCAGAAGGAAGAGACCAGGGGTAACACCGATCATGTGGTGATCATTAAGGAGTACAGGGGAAAGATCGAGTGTGAGCTTAGCAAGATCTGTGACGGGATTCTCAGCCTTCTTGAGTCCCATCTCATTCCCTCAGCCTCATCTGCCGAGTCCAAGGTGTTTTACCTTAAGATGAAAGGTGATTACCACAGGTATCTGGCAGAGTTTAAGACTGGGACTGAAAGGAAGGAAGCTGCTGAGAGCACCTTATTGGCCTACAAGTCTGCTCAGGTGCGTTCCCTGTTCAATTCATTTGCTTTGAACACGGCTCATGTGATTACCTTAAACTTCTGTCTTGATGCTTTACTTCTTCGTTAATACTTTATAATCTGACACTTGTATCTCTTGTTGATTAGGATATTGCTGTAGCTGAATTGGCTTCTACTCACCCAATCAGGCTGGGACTTGCGCTGAACTTCTCTGTGTTCTATTATGAAATCCTTAACTCGCCTGACCGTGCTTGCGCTCTTGCAAAGCAGGTGTGCTTTACTAATAATTGCATGCTATCGCATGCAAAGCTGCAGACTTAGTACTGTGCATCACTTTTATCTGAGGTGACATAATGGGCTAACAGGGTATAGCTTAAAGCATTCATCCTCTCCTTTTTAACTTGAGGAGAATGGATTTTTTTCATTATGAACTTTTTAATTTGCGCATTCGCAAAATTTGAGTCCTTTGGGCATTTTCTTTCGTAAATAATATGGGACGACAATTAAGCAGCTGCTTCAATTAAGCAGCTGCTTTGATGTAATTTGGAATTTGGAATTCGTATTTCAACCTTGTGCAAGACTATTGTGCTGTGACTGAAATAGGAGTTATAGCTGTATTTTATTTTTCCCATTTGACTGGATCTACTACTTAATTTGCTTTCTTCATCTATCTTTAGTAAATTTCATTTCCTGACTAGCAGCAATTTGTTTCTTGTAGGCATTTGATGAGGCCATTTCTGAGTTGGATACCTTGGGTGAGGAATCATACAAGGACAGTACGTTGATCATGCAACTTCTGCGAGACAACTTGACACTCTGGACTTCTGATCTCGCGGTCTCTCTCTCTCTCTCTCTCTCTCTCTCTCTCTCTCTCTCTCTCTCTCTCTCTCTCTCGGAGTATGCGTTTGTGGGAGGGTGCAAGTGTGTATTCATTGTCGATACTAGCAATGCACTTGTCGTTATCTCTCATGGCTTTTTTTTTATCAATGAGTCTTCGAAAGAATTGCAACGCTTTTTCACCCACTTGATTTCGTTCATGAGGTTTATATTGTAATACATCGGAGTTTTCCTCGATTGTTTGAAATTTTTCCACTACCTAGGTGTTCATGTTCTTATTCATTGTGTTTGTGATGTCAGGATGAAGCTGGGGATGACATTAAGGAAGCTTCAAAACCGGAGTCTGGAGAGGGGCCGCAATGATTTGCTTAGTTAATAGGACAATGTCGGTACTTTATGATGTTTTGCACTGTCGTAGATGCCATGTGGCTTGTCGCAGTGAGATTACTTATGAACTTGAGTGCTATAAGGTGTTTTTCTAGTGTTCCTTGATGAGATTCGGGTTGTTTTACCTATTAAACGATATATAATTAGAGTTTTTAGAGTGTTTTAATGGATATCATCATCTCAAATTGTCGGTTCCCTCGTGTGGGCTTTCGTGCTGCCTAGTTTAAATAGCACGGGCCCGTTGCATTTGATTATGGATTTCTTCTTTTCCTTGTTGGATGATACTAAGACAGTTCAAGGAGGCTTGGTCAAGTTATGGCCGATCAGTGTTGTGCACCGCGGTCAATTTGTGGAGGAAGCTTGAGAACCTCAATCGTTTCTAGTTCCTAGATAGTTGTCGGACTGTTGACAAATTGCACATTGATATGCAGGTATTCCTAGAATAGAATGTGGATCGATACAATTTGTATATCGGTCATATGATATGTATCATTTGACCTCTCATCCGGTTACAATGCCATTGGCAAAGGAAAACGCTATGGAGAGTCTCTCTCTGAGAAGCTTTCTCTGTGACGTTCCGTCGGGAGCACTGAAGTACCAGGAGGGAGAAAAAGAATTGTGTTAGTGAGCTTCCTCCGTCAGGACGATGTGTTCAGGGTTGTGTTGGAGATGAGTCTCACTTCATAGAGATCCTGCTCTCCCTTCGCTGCAATTGAAGGTTCGCAATCATCATCAACCACATGCTTGTTCTCTTAAGCCAATGTCAAATCAATTTATCCTAGTCTAAAACTTCTGCTGGTATAACATGACCGACACATAATGTGCAACTCACCTACTTCAGCTGAAATGCCAGGTCCAAAGAACGAAGCAAACTTCGCCTGCAAAATAGTAAAGATTCTCAATCCATGATAGACGATAAATAGCAGCACAGTCAACTTTTTGAAACATATATAAAAAGAGGCCAGGAAGAGAGTATGCGCGAGCTTGTCATGTTTCATGAAGCCATAATATCGAATGCCCAACATTCTCTACAACTCCCTATACGGTAGAAACCAGGTTTTCAACGATTAGAAATCGCGACTACCCGTACCTGTCTTTGCTCAAAATCAGATAGCTGCAATGCTTTTGCCTCAAATACCAAAACCAAGCAGTATTTTCCTTCCTCGGTGACCTAAGGCAATACCTTCAAATCATCAGAAGACAAAAAGAGAGAACAACGGAATACAACCTAAGGGGCATAGCCATTAGGTAATGACTATGATAGTGCGCTAAACTAAGCTCCTATAAGTAGAAGCGTTCAGAAATATCATCTGTTCGATATCCAAAGGGTAGAGAGAGAAAGTATACTTCTTCGCGGATCATCTGTAGTATAGGTGCACTCCTTCGTGGGATTCCACCACCCTAGAGAATACACAACATATAATGCTGATATCAGTCAATTTATTCAGAAAGATAGTATGTCACACATGCAGTAAGCACAAATCATAGCAACTCCTCATACTAGATGCCAGCATTCATTTGGTATTACATGAGAATATGCCTACTTTTATTTCTTGGCCTTACGAGTCAACACAGAAACGCAAATATTATCAGAACCATACCTGGCCATACTGGAAGATTCGTTTCAACGCCTCATCCAAATGCTGCTCATCCCCATATCGATATCTAATGACATCGCTTCTAACCTAATGATATTTAAATCAGTCATCCGGGACAGTCAATGTAATACACACGCACGCATACCCGTTTATATGTGGATAAGAGAAAAGAAACTTTTGAGCATATGTTTCGGCCGAATTATGAGAAACTCGGGCTCTTACTTCACTGAATAAAACATACTAGGTAAAATTTTTATCCTTTTCCTTGAGAAAACTGCATATTGATCTTCTCTGAAGTTAAGAAGAAAGCATGCAAATGCATTAAATCGAAATGAAAGTAGATAACAAAACGGAATTGAATTTTCCATGTCTCGGATACCCCAGTCAAATTTATGATCAAAATTACATCCTTTGACTCTATTTGAAGGAACGAAATTACTCAAATATATTATGATCATAGATTGGTCCAAAGGGGTTTGCAATGCTTGGAAGTATGTAAAGCTTACACGTGTGCGGAGTGACTAAAGGAACTTAAACAACCTTTATTTGCAGAACAAGGAACAGTCAAGTTTATTTGACAATAATACCTGCTTTAAGATTGGGGTGGCACAGTTCTCCCTCAACATTTGAGCATCTGAATATGTCAAGCATGGTACCGGTTTGAGCTCTGCATACTACATTTAACAAGAAAAGATTAGTATCCCATATAGAGCCTTCTTTAAATTGCCATATCCAACAACACAGCATTAAAAAGAAACACAACATAAAATTTCAGATCCCAGAGTCAGATGCAGCTCGTTGTTTTAAACCTAATTCTAATTTGCAGCATAACTAACAAGCTTATTGCAGCTGCAATTTCGAATTTAAGTGTATCTTTTCACACGGATGTTCTGATTGATGTTAAAAGGCAAGGGCACAAGAAAGCAAGAGAAGGCAGAACACACGATCAAATTGCATGTATCTTTTCACACGGATGTTCTGACAGATGTTAAAAGGCAAAGGCACAAGAAATCAAGAGAAGTTAGAACACAAGCAAGCATATTGGAATTACATTTTCCAGACAAATACATAGATTTGTACTCCCACAGGTAATTTGAAGCTGTCTGAGATCCTAGATGCAGTTAAATTCGGTTCAGGCTACAGAAGCGACTCCTGATATCATGGAGAAATGCTACTTATATTGAGAAGCACAAATAAGAGTCATTCGCCAAGCGATACGACAAGCTTTCACAGGTGAATTAGACAAAATCAACCACCAGGTTTTGACCCCCCCCCCGAACTTCAAGCTGCCGGTCAAATATCATCGCCCCATACCCTCAATGCCATATCACTTAGCAAGCAAGATTTACTGCATGCTCGATATTTATACCATTACACGAGGAAGTCCGCCGAGACAACGAGCTCACCTTCAAAGCCATACCAATAATTGCCAGAGGGAAACCATATGTCAGCATCAAGGCAGACCATTCCGAACCAGGGAGGATATTGAAATATGCACAAAATCCATAACTGCAGCACGAAAAACACCAATTGTTCAAAAAAAAGGCACCAAACTTACACTTATGACAAGTCCTCAACCACTTAATCCAAAACCTAGTCAAACAAACGCAAAGCACATAACATAGGGACTCACGACAGGAGCGAAACTCCAACTCCCAATCCGATAACACCGAATGAAACCTGCAATTTCACAAAGCTCAAATCATATGCGGCTCCAAAAATCAGTCAAAATCGAAGCCCCAAAGTGAAAATACAAAAAAGAAAGGGAAAAAAGCGACCTTGGCTAGAGAGAACTCATCGTCGGGGATAATCGCCTTGCCAGCGGACGCAGGCTGAGTGGAATCGGCTGCTCTCACGACGAACGCGAGCTTGCGAGCGATGGCGAGCCGCCTATCGCCGACCGAAACGGGCGGCCACGATCGGGCGCTGACGGCGCGAGCGGAGGACTGGCGAGGGCGGAGGAGGGGGGAGAGAGCGCGGCGGCGGCCGCAGATGCCGAGCCGGCGGTCGGGAGCGCAGGCGGCGGAAGCTCCCGCTCTTGCCGAAGCTGGCAGCGCAGCATTCACAGGCATCGTCGCAGTCCGTCTCCGGCTCCGTGCGCGAGGTGCGAGCGAAGAAGAAAGGAAGAAGAAGAAGGAAGAAGAAGAGATACAGTTACAGTTGAAGATTGGCACAGTGAAAATCACGGCGAGCTCTCAACCGCCAAAAAATTAGCGCTTACGTGTCGCCATGACATGCATCCATTTCATTGCTCCTTCTTACTCAGTAAACACACGGGCCGGACCATCCAAAACCGACGGGCCTAAAATCGTTGTTTAAGCTCATCCTGATGGACCGGCCCATCGGGCTTATCGGGCCACTAGGCCCATTGACTCGTGATCGGACTTCTGTTGGTCCATTGACTCGCAACTCCGGTGGCGTCGGTATGACTTAGACCTGTCAAAATGGATCATGTGCCCATTCTTAACCCATATTTGATTGGGCTGAGTTGTTATATGGGCTAATTGTATTCAATAAATGGGTCATAAATGAGTTTAAAATGGTAAGACCCAAAACAATATAAGTGTTAAATAGATTCACAACAAATTGAGATCAAAACCACCTCTATGACTTTCTCTTTCGTCCTTACTCGATTTTGCGCTTGCTCACTCTTTGCTCTCACCTCAATTTTGTTACGAGTTTTCCTATATTTGATCAAATATGCAAGTGCTTTACTAACATGGGTTAGGTTGAATACAGGTCACTAGATTTGTATTGGATAAAAATGGTCAAAATGGGTTAAATGGGTCAAACTGGATTGGATTGTTTCGACCCGATCCACCTGTTTGACGTGTCTAGTGTAATTTGTATTTTCAATAACGTGGCATGTAGGGTGAGCATAGTTTCATGGTGGAACCTGGAATTGGAGAACTAGACCTATGGGAACCTATCCGGTTCCAAGTTCCAAAGTATGTAGGGTAGATTCCATGTGCCAAAAATTGGGAAACATGTTTCAACGGGCAAGTTCCAGGTTCCACTATCCAAAACGTAAAACAAGTTTTTGTATTTTTCTTGGTTTATTAACGAGTGTATCATCTAGAACCAATAGTCTGAACTTTCATTTTATGACTAAGACTTGTACTTTGTTAATGTTTCATATTTTTCGTGTATCTAAATATAAGTTGTAGTCAGTGAATTATAGCAGCAAGTGGTGATCGTTAAAGTTGATAATTCACTATAATCATTTAGAAGAGCTCGATTGCACTAATTTGACAAATAAGTTTTAGGACTTGGTTGCATTTTTTATAAGTTTTAGGACTCAATTATATTTTCACGATAAGTTTTAGGATTTTCAGTGCATATATCCTTATAGTTTTCCAAAATAATTTGCCATTCTCCCACTCCTACCATGTGCGTTCTTTGTGCGGTCCACGTAGCTCGACCCCATTACAACATACTTCGAGCCAGTAATAACGAGAGAATCAAAGGAAGCATGCATGTGATCTCCAAGAAAAGCTGCCATGCCATCCCTTCATGACAAGAACAATTCACGCACACTTTCACTCCCCAACAAAAGTACAAAACGAAGCCAAATTGCCTCGGTCGACCCCATCATCATCTCCTCTTCACGCTCCATCCGTCCTTCACCATTACATTTGTTCGACACAGACTGAAAAAAGTGATCCCCAAACATCACTTAGCACGCTCTGATATGTGACAGAAACACTTTGATTTTCCGGGCGGGTCGCCTGTGGCTCTCCCTCTGCTTCCTCTTGCTCATCCATGAAAGGCACCCGACTTGCCTGCATCTGCAAGTTCTTCGCTCATCTTCCTTCTCTCTGTCGTCACTATCTCTCATCGACGAGCCTTCCTCTTCTTCATCTCCTGTTTCTTCGTTTGCTCCGGCCTGCAGAACCCGTACGTATTTGTTAGCACGTTTAGTTTGAACTTGGAAATATTCGAATTCGATTTGAGTAACAGATCTTGTCTATGCCAAGGAGTGAATGCTACTCCTCAAAAGATAGCAAAGGTTTGGCAATGCCCCCCACTCTTTCGCTCTGTACTTCAGAGAATCTTCGAACATTATATGTACCTAATCATCTCATCGTGGCTTACAACTTAGTAGATGGTGGCCCTATAGAAACATTTCTATCGAGTTTCTGTAACGTATGATGCAACATTGATGACACTAACGAAATATTCAGTCTACTAAAGCCCTTTATGCAAATAGAAATCGTGATTGAGGTTAGCCTAAATTCGATCGAGAAAACTAACTTCTTTCAACCTGATTACGACTCTAGCTAGGGGCAGTACAACCAACCAAGCGCGTTAGATAGAGAACTTAATTTCATAGAAATGTAACAAGAGAACAAAACTGACCATACCAAAGTTAGACTTTGTCCAAATCCATAGTTTACGATTAAGTAGACTGTCCATTTTCTTCTACGCTTTGGTAATTATAGTCACTTGTTCAAACGTTTAAGATGTCGGATTCTATCATAATGCCGTGATCCTAGATAGCGACACCACACGTGGTGACCCGAACGCTATGATTTTACACTATATTTCATGTGTACTATACATGTGAACTTTAGCAGTACCCTAAAATATCTCAGCATCCATGTTTTCAAAAGGGTGTGGTTTCACGTAGCAGAGGAAAGTGCAGCGCACTGATGAGACAAAATCGGGAATCGCAGGACAAATTATTCATTCAGCGCGGGTCCTGACGAGGAAGAAGATGAACATTTCGACCCTAGAAAGCATGTGACTACCAAAGTAGTTGATGTTGCCATTTCATTTGAGAGAGTGGATAAGAAACCCCAAAAGAATAATTATAATGATAATAATCGACACAAACCAACAAAAAAGTCCTACGAGAAAAGAATCATTTTTGAAATTCATCATTATTAAAGCATCTCGATGTAGTTCCACAGGAAGAACCAAACAACAGGATCAAATCAAGCACAGAAAGAGTTACCGTACGCGCAAATTCAAAATGCAAAAGATTGACGCCTAGATCTTGAAAGGGCCAGAAACACTTTTCGCTTTATTGGTGAAGAAAGTTAACTTTGTGATAAGCAAGGGAAAGAGAACAAAAGGGAAAAAGCGGGCTTGTGTAGAGGACAAACGGTTCTGTGATCGGGATAAGAAATCGTGGGGCCACGTTGTGCTCAGAGCAGGAGGGACCAACCGCATCTGTCTCGATGTTAGGCGGGAACATCTCATGGGATGCTCGACTGTAGTTGTTGTTTTTGGGGATGCATGGTGCTTGAAATTTGAAAGCAAACGGACAATTTGTCATACTTGGTGAAGATATTTCTAAAGATGAGGAGATGGGATGTAGAATTTGAAGAGAACGCCTACATGATTTGACTGTTAATCAGTCATTACCGAGGCTATGATTGCAATAGTACTTGAGATGTGATTATATCCCCTCAAAACCTAATTATATTTTATTTTTCTAGCATAGTTGACATCAGATTAATTCCTTAAAGAATATGCAAAATGTTAGAATATGGCTATAGCAAGTGGAGGAAGACTATATGAATATAAGCTATATTCCAACCTAATAGTCAAAGATGTGAGATAACACTTTAACGCTCCTCATATTCAAACGAGAGTGCAAGCGTATTGAAGAAGGCACAAATTGAAGAACGAGGAGCCACCCATACGTGAAGCTAGGTGATGAAGGATGCAGAAGCAGGGCTTTGATAATATGTGAGATTGTTCAACTCAAAGTTTATACTAATAAATGGATGGAGACTATATGTGTTCATAAGCTATAAGACATTCCAACCGTGGCAGTCGAGCGATGTAGAATATTTTTGAACCCAAACCATACTTACCTCTTCTTCGGACTTCATCTTCGAATTCGAATGGGACGACTCCCCGCTTTCCTCACTGCACCGTTTTGTCATCCTCTCTCCAATTGACGGGGTTGAAGCGGGGGTCGGGCTGCTCGACTTCAGATCAGCCGGCGTGCTCTGAACCCCGACATCTCTAGTCGGTCGCGCCACTTTCTTTTCTGAACAATCCAATAAACAAAAGACCAAACGAGAGATTATTGATCAAAGAACAGCCAAACTTGGTTTAATAGGAGACTGATTAAACATACAAAAGGGTAGTTGGAATGAACCTTGAATTGGGATTTGGAGCACATTTTCTTGTGGGTTGGAAGAGGCAAGCTTATTATTGGTTTGTATAGAGTAATATGAAAGATGTGAAGAAGCAGAATAGATGAGAGGTGCAGACATGGCGATTCGATTGGTCATCATGTTACGGAAAGATCTTGCACTGAGAGTTTTTGCAGACAAGCACTCCATTGGCACTTGCCCAGAGAGCGGGTTGCTTATGTACTTCTCCGCATCGCTCCACTTTGAATTCAGAGCGAATCCTTCAGGCGACAAGCACTCCCACACATAACCTGACCTTGCCTGTAATGCTGCATTTCAGAGAGAGTACTTTTTTTAAACTTTCTGTACGTACGACAGAAGTACGGAAAAATTAGCTTCGTTAGAAGCTAGCTAGGCTTGTGAGATAAGAATTAAGAAGGCTCTCTATGTGTTTTGTTACCTTTGAGAGCTGTGCTGAAGGAGTATGTTGAAGGATCAATCTCATCTGCGCGTGATGAAGTTCAAAAGAGAAAATTTTCAGGAAAACTGGATGACAAACCAAAAGGCCATGAGCTTTTAAAGCCCTTAGTTTGCGAAAAAGCACGGTCACGTCGGGATTAGATCTCGTCAAGGGACATGAGATAACACATTACCCGGTATCTAGCTACATCGTTTGCGTGGGATCATGTGTGCGACTTGCGGTACTTAATGCATGCGATTTGGACTCAACTCGAACGTGGACTGTGCGAATTGAGCTCAGACAAGAATTTCACGAGCTTTAGTGAAAATAGATCCTAGAGAGACCGAGAGAGAGTAGAATTGGATACCTCTAAAAGGGTAACCAGGGGAAGAAGCAGTGCTGGAGATGGTGAAGTTGGACCGGAAAGAGCGGTTGTCCTCTCTGAAGCTCCTGATGTTGGAAGCCGAGAACCTTCTTGAGCTGGTGTTGTGTTTGCTGATCCTGGCGGCTTTCAGATCCCAATCCTTCAAGTTTAAGTCTGATGATGGTTCTTGATGATGGTCTCTCGGCCTGGCAATATAGTTTGAAGATTGGTTTTCCATGGTCAAGTCTCTCTCTCTCTCTCTCTCAAATTTCTTAACTTTCCAAGTTCTGGGTTTTCTGCTCTGCTTTAGTTCAGATTCGGAGGGGTTGAAATATTCGAATAAATTTTAGTTTATTTTCAGTGGGCGCCACTTTTTTGCTGAATGAAATTGCGGAGCAGTTTTTGAGCTACACTTTTTGGTGCAGGGAGGGGAGAGAAGGATATAGACAAATCCATGGTGGATTCTCTCTTTATTTACTTTATTGGGTAAAATTTTGAAAAAAGAGTCATTTCATATCGTTTAAATTGGTTAAATATATCTGTTTACATTTTTTAAAATATTAAGGAGAAGAAAAGGTTGAATATTTCTTGTAAGATTTGATCTGTCACGTGTGTCCTTTGAGAAATTGAAATGATGAAGTTGAGCTTTACATACATACATTCAAGATCTATTTATTAACGTTTCTGTTTCTCTGTTTTTCTATTTTTTTGTACCCCGAAACAGAAAAAGAACGGAAATCCGTTTAGTAACGTCAGTTAGTTTTTTTGTTCCTTGAAATAGAAAAGTGATATGGGAATAGATTTGGAACAGAAATAGGAAATAAAAAATTTACTTTTCTGTTTCTGAAAAAAAAAAGAAACAATAGAGAAATAAGATTAGCTCTCCCTTTTTTATAAGATATTCTCGTACTAAACCCTAAAACCTCAAATCCTAAACCCTAAACCTTAACCCTCAAACCCTAAACCCCAAAATCATAAACCTTAACCCTAAACCTCAATACCTAAACCCTAAAACCCATAGCACTAAAATGAAAATTCCGAAACCCTAAACTCTAAAACCCCAAACCCCAAAACCCAAATCCCTAAAACCCTAAACCTTCTAAACCCAAACCCTAAAATCCAAAACCCAAACTCCAAACCCCAAAACTCCAAACCCCAAACCCTAAAATCGTAATTCCAAAACCTAAATCCTAAAACGTTAAACCGCAAAACCCCGAACCCTAAACCATAAACCCCAAACCCTAAACTGTAAACCCTAAATGGCATACCCTAAATCCCAAACCCCAATACCCAAAACCTGAATCCCTAAAATCATAAACCCTAAACCACTAAACCCAAACCCAAAACCCAAAACCCGAAACGCTAAACCTAAAACCATAAAATCTAAAACCCCAAACCCTAAACCTCAAAATCAAAATCCTAAAACCTGAACCCCTAACCCCAAATCCTAAAATCCTATATCCTAAACTGCAATTTCCTCGATGATCACCCGATATTTGATTTGTCTATAAGGAGTAATTTTCTTTATGATTGTATTAAGGCCATCCAATTCTATATCATAATATATTAATACTCTATTTTTAGCCTAATTTTATCCAAACATGAATTGTTAAGTCCCATAAACTGCAATTTCCTCGACCACCACATGGTATTTGCTATGTTTATAAGGAGTAATTTTTTTTATGATTGCATTAAGGTCATCCAATTCTATATCATAATATATTCTTATTCTATTTCTAGTCCAATTTTATTCAAACATGAGAGAGAGATATGATGGCTAAAGATGCAGACTGTGACGAGCCACCATTCCCTTGCCACATTGTAAGAATTGCGTGAACCTCGCTATGAATGGAGAACGATGCGACCTCTTTGTGGATAGACCGTGTCATTTCAGGATCGTGCCTCCCTCAAAGTTCCAATGATGGCATGGAGATGGTGGCACAAACGCACGGCCATCCTCTAGAGCAATCTCTCTCCGTCTCTTTGCAACCCCGATCAATGGCAATCGAAGGTACATGAGGTGGGCTCCGTGTTGTCGCCCCTAACCCAAATCTCTTGCCAAAAAGTTTCTCGGGTCTTCACTTGTTGAATTCGATGTTTAGAATCGCGAAAGGCATCTCGATTTCTTTTCCCTAATCACATCAACGGCTACGTTACTCCAATTAGATCCGTCAGCGACGACAAGACTTCACCGCACGAATCACGCCGATAGAGAAACCGTGGAAACAGAAAGTTCCAAACCGGAAAAGAACTCGCGTACGTTGCTCTGTTACTCGATTTCTACAAAAGAAAGAAAGAAAGAAAAAAAAAACCATTCAATTCCACTCTGGGTAAGATGTGAGAAAGGACACATCCAAAAGAGGAGGGGGTTGCTGTCAGTATGGGCTGGACGAAGGAAGAGGAAAAGGAGTCGTGGACGGCATTGGCAGGGCAGGGCCGGGGGATTTTTCATACAACATGTTCGCTCTCGGTGTTTCATGCGTACGCGAAATGATGAGGTTGTCATCGTTTTCTGACATTTCAAAATTTGTGCAGCCAGGGGCCAAGGATACAGGAAGGAACAATCGAGGGGGTCCCACTCGGTAAGCCCATCTCATCCTGGCCGTCCGCTTTGTCTGACGTGTGCGCCTTGCTGTTTCGCTGCGATGCTGCGGTGGGCCCCCCATCCTCGCTTCGTTTAATTTCTAAAGTTTTTTTTATTTCCCTTTTCCATCTATAATTTGTTCAATAATTCAAGGAGATTGAGATTCCTTCCGATATCATGCCTATTGCCTACCCCCCTACGCACCTCTTGATCTTTTGGTGGTCCTGTGCCCTATGTATCATAATTTTGTTTTATCAGTGCATGAATTTTTCGAGAAAAATAATCTTCTTTCTCCGGAAAATTGCTTGGTGGAATTTACGAAATGTATATTTAAACGTTAAAACAAATGTTCTTATTAAGCATATTTAGAAAGTATTTTGATTTTCATATCATTGATTATGCCCGAAAAGTCATACGATGCGAAATGTAAGTTTTTTTATTTTTATACAACCGAACGGTTGTGGTGGATCTTAATTTAGAATATGAATTTTCTGGGTGGACTTATTAGTATTCAATGAGACTTATTATTTGTTATATGTATTTCAACACTTGTCCTTGGGACATGTGCACTTGGTGATTGAATTATCTTTCCTTAATTTCTTTATAGAACTCAAAATCAACACAAAGCTTATGATGCATGCTCGAATGTCTTTTTGTTGTTAAAGATAATCGGTGACTTTCGAGTTTCATTTGAAAACGATATGCATTTCGGATGCCTTTTGATTGTTCCACCTCACGATCTAATAAATCTTATCATGCATTAGTCATGATATTTATGCTTCGTCTATTTTATTGAAAATATTTGTGGACCCAGGCTCGGGTGTCAGGGTCCTCTGCTCTGCCTTTATGGACCCGGGCTCGGGTGCTGGGGCATCGGGCACTGGCACCGAGGCCTCGGGCTAGGCCTCGATGGACCTACGCACTGGCATCAAGGACTTGACCACTAGCATCAAGTTCCCGAGCTCGGGCTCAATAGACCAAGGCGTTGAGGACCCAAACTGGATGCCAAGGACTTGAGAACAAGTGTTAGGATTTTCGTACCCAGCATAGAGTTCTTGATATAAGTATCGAAATCTAGGCCCGAACTTGACCCCTTTTTTTGTGTACGCATGGACCATGATGATGGGACTCGTTTATCTGCCAGGCCTGACCAGGCTAGGCCCAACCTTTTGATTCTCTAGACTTACAGGTTTTTTCTTTTGTTGATTGGTAGGGTTGGACGAGAGAGGCCTGATATTTAGTCTGATATCAAGCCTGATAATGTTGGGGAAGTTTTTTAGGTGTATTGGCGTCTAGACTCCGTTTGTTTCGCGAAAAATGTAATATTTCTAATTTTTCTTTTTCAAGATGTCATTTTCCTGGAAAATGATAATATTTTTCCGGTGTGTGGCTGAGACGTGAAAATGAACTGGAAATTATTTTGTCATTTGATAAACTAAATAGACATCCACTATTTAAGCGTTTGTGGCTTGCGTTCGGATAGCCGGTGAACTAGGTATGGGCACTAAGGTTACAGGCCCGAATACTTGGCTCTTGAGCATTAGCATGGACACCGATCCTAGGTTCGTAGAAGCTAAGCTTGATGGACCCAAGCCCGAGCGCCGGGGTCGGCCTCGAAAGACTTGGACTTGAACATCGAGGACCCAAGCAAAGGCGTTGGGATCCCAGGTCCGGCCTTGATGGATTTGGGAACAGCACCGGGGTCTTGGCCACGATCTCGATGGACTCGGGTATGGAAATTGGGTCGTGACTACTGGGGTGCGAACACGACCTCAATGGACAAACTTGGGCCTCGCCTCGAGGAACCCAAGCACTAGTGCCTAGGTCCCAAACTTGGCCTCGATGGACCAAGCCTAGCCTCGCTAGCCTGGGCCTGCCTCAATGAACCCAAGCATGGGCGCTAAGGTCAGCCTCGATGGACCTAGGCTCGGTTGCCAAGATCTCGAGTCAGGCCTCGATGGATCTAGGCCCCGACACTAGGGACTTGGTCTTAGGGGCTGCGTTTCAGGACCCGGCCTCAATGAACCTGGTGTGGGCATTGGGGATTCAAGCACTGACACCAAGGTCCCGAGCTCGACCTCGATGAACTAAGGCCCGAGCGTTGGGGTCCCAAAACCAACCTCGATGGACCCGGGCGCAGGCACCAAGGCCTGACCTTGATGGACCCGAGCCCGGGCGCCAAGGTCCTAGGCTTTGCCTCAATAGACCCAGGCTGGCTCTCGATTGACCTTGGTAGACCTGGCCTTGCTGCCAAGGGCCCAGGAATGAGTGTTGGAGTTCCCGTGCCTAAGCGTAGAGTTTATGGTCCAAGCTTTAGTCATATTTTGGAAAATAATTTTCGATTTTTGAAAAAAGAAATCATATTCCTGAATATAAGCATAGGTTTTCCGTTAACTCGTTTTCCTAAGTGATCCAAAGGTTGGACAACGAGAAAAATATATTTTCAAAAATATTTTCTATAGAACAAACGGAGCTCTATAGGCTGCATTTGACCGATAGGATAACGATTAGGACATTGCAAGATAAGATCGGAAATGAAGTATGTGGAGATATGTTGTGCTTTACTTTTTATTAGGTAAAACACTAGATATCATGGCGGATACGTTTATAACAATATAAAAACTAAAGATTCCTAGAAAAGTTAATAGACATAAAAATAAAATAAAATTGGTGAGTGAAACCGCAAGAAGCGAACCGTCGTAATGGTCAAACCCAAGGACCGCCGCGACAAAGGTATCATCTAATTGTCACGTTGGTCGATTACCCCAACAACACTGAAAATGGGCCATGAAAGCAAAAGGGGTGGGGAGAGAAATCACGGGCAACCAACGTGACGGGAAAGCCTAGAAAGCTAGATCGATTTGTCCAGATCTTGATCGTTGAGAGGCGACCACCGTGATGGTGGTCTCATCTGTTGTCGCGACGTCTCTGAAAGGAGGTACGAAAAAGGCTATCTCATGTTGTGTAATTACCGATCAATGTTATCGATGTGTTTGGAATAAGCGTCACGCATGAACCTATAATTTCACAAAAATTAGGGAATTGGTTGCTAGATGTTCAAAGGATGTTCGTAAATACTTCATCGGGAATGAAAAGAGATGGAAAAAGAAAGTTGCTTCGTCATGTTACCAAAACAAAAGTTCGAGCATGAGATGTATCAAGAAACTGCTCTTCGAAGATGCATGCTTGTTTCTGTGTATCAATTTGCCAATGGTAGACACATTGAGTCTACCATTCCAAGTTTGCCCCCACATTAGAACATTTTCATGATATTGATGACGACGAAAGCAATCTGAGTCTTCCCATCAAGGTCTTTTAGACTTGGCCATTTCTTTTAGGGCACATTTGTTTGTACCTCTGGCAAAAATAATTATTTTTTATAGTTTGCAAAGTTGTGCGAGATGTTTATCCTAAGGTCGTTCTCTCCATAAAAAATTGAAATAAAAAGAATTATATGTGACTCTATGTGCCGAAATTTGTACATCGCGAAACTTTCGAAGATCACGAGTTTTTCAAAAAACAAAATTCATTCGCTAGACGAATTGGTTGAAGCAAAATTGAAAAAAAGTGAAAGTGCATCTAAAACACCTCCTTCATCGATCTCAAACCCTAGAAAAAGGTCGATGTTTTCCTAACCCAAAAGGGCCAACATCAAGCGGTGCACTGTGGAGAACGTGACGGATACCCTTAAAAAAAATGCAGCACGATGGGTACCCCCAAGAGGAAGAGTCCGGGAAGCAAACGATTTTGGTTGGTTGGTGCACCGTACTGGTCGTGGACTTGGACTTGAATTTTTTATTTACTAAATTTTTTTTTTTATTATAGATTCTTAATCTTCGGGACTTCATAAAATATTTATTTTATTTATATTGTAAACTTTCTTCAATAATTAGGGTGGGGATAAATTCGAGAAAGTCGAGGGCTATTACCTAGGGGTGCCAATGGGCAGGGTCCGGTATGCTCGAGTTGGGTTTCTCTTGCTACCATGCCCCACCCCCCGCCCCAAATCCGCCCTTGCTATCGAACCCTTGATCCAAAAATTGAAATGGGTTGACCTGCCTAAAATACACAATTCATTCTCATGACTACTATTTCTTGATGTGATTTTAGGATCACCCCATAGATCGAATTATCTGTACCGTACGTGTTTTTTTTTCTATTCTTTCATACGATGGGATTTGAAAATGCATTATAAATTCCGCTTCCGAACAAGTAATAACTCGAGGATAACACTTTTCTAGCAAAAAACAAAAAAGAACTCGAGGATAACACATTGGCCTACTATGGAGTGTATACCGATGAAGCAATTGCTGTCTATTTTCGGTACATGCAATCTGTTGAATCACGCGCATCCCGCACCGTCCGACCGAACCCAAAAACAAACGTATGCGTAATTAATAACTCAAAATATTTTCCATGGGGGGGCCAAACTATGGTTTAATTTTGCCATCGAGAGGAGCATTGACTATTCCAAGGAATCAACCAAGTCATCATTCAACAGTCCACTCTTTCAACCTCCTGCTGATTCCACACCACCGTCCACTACGAATTCCCACTACATTCTGAGATTCACGTGCCCAAAATTCGACCTTTTCTTCACTTTTCGAGGCACCTAATCTCTCTCTCCATCCATCTGTATAATAACACGCACTTTCTCTGCCAATCTCCTGCTTGTCTCGCACCGAACCAAACCCCATTATTCATCAACCCATCTTGCTAGTCTCTGTCGAGCAACCATGGCTTGTTCGAGCTCTGCTCTGAGAACCATCTCTTCCTCCTCTGCGAAGCTCGCCAAGAGCTCGGGATCTGCAAGCAGCGGTTCGCCTTCCAAGACGCGCTTGCCCTTCAACCTCTCGACCCCGTTTCTGCCCAAGCTCGCCGCGACATCTCCCTCCAGCTCGAGCTCGAGCCGGAGCCTCTCTGCCTTGCCCAGAAAATCCTTCTCTTGCAAGAGCCAGGCCAGTCCTGCTGGTGACTCCACCCCTGGTAAAGTTCCTGCCCACCCCCTTTTGTTTGTTTCTTTTTGGGCAGAACCTCCGAGAGAAAAGAAGGGTCTGTCTGAACACCCATTTTGCTGGATCAAGTCGATCTCTTTTCAAGAATTGACGAGAACGCAGTGACCTAATGAGAGATCCGTGTCCCGATGCCATTCTTTATTTCCTATCAGTGCGATCGATTCGACCCCCCATAACCTTAACTTTCTCAAGATTACTGATGAAGAACTTTTTGTACGGGGTCTGTGTAGGGAAAGTTCAAGAACTGCATGTGTACGAGATCAACGAGAGAGATCGAGGAAGCCCGGCTATCCTCAAATTGAGCCAGAAGCCTGTCAATTCCCTCGGCGATCTCGTCCCTTTCAGCAACAAAGTCAGTTCCTTGATCCTCACTTTGCTTCATCTCTGCATCATTTGACGCATCTTTCGTTTTCGTGGATCATGTTACTCACTCAATGGGACATTTACAAACCTTTTTCGTTGGGGGGTCAGTATTTGGTCTGACCCTGATAAACTGCTTATCTTGAACTTCTTGTTACTGGGCATAAACTGCTTATTTTCCACTTCTTGCGCTTGATTCGGTCGGGATCTTACTGGTTAACAATCTCTCTTACTGGGCAATAATAGAGTCTGTTGATTTGTGGCCCTGAAGCTTCTTATGAAGATCGGGATCACAATTCATTTGTTAGAAAAAAAAGATGGAGTCTGTATTTGATGAATAATGCTCGGGATTGAAATACTGCAACTTTAGTAAGTTAAAAATTAGAACTTTTTTCAATCGACAATGTATAGAGTGGAACTATCAGGATTTAGTCCTTGGACTAGATTCCATGCCACACCACGACAACACTTGATTAATTTTCTTCTTCCACGAATTCACGATGCAGCTGTACAGTGGGGACCTGCAAAAGAGACTGGGCATAACTGCGGGCATCTGCATCCTGATCCAGAACAAGCCGGAGAAGAAAGGTGACCGCTACGAGGCCATCTTCAGCTTCTACTTCGGCGACTACGGCCACATCGCGGTCCAAGGCCCTTACCTGACCTACGAGGACACGTACCTGGCCGTGACCGGTGGGTCCGGCATCTTCGAGGGCGCGACCGGCCAGGTCAAGCTCCAGCAGCTCATCTTCCCTATCAAGCTCTTCTACACCTTCTACCTCAAGGGCGTCAAGGACTTGCCCGCCGAGCTCCTGGGGAAGCCGGTCCCGCCCAACCCCGGCGTCGAGCCGGCCCCCGCTGCCAAGGCCTGCGAGCCGCACGCCGCGATTGCTAATTTCACTGATTGATCGGGGGGATGATTTAGCAATGAATAATGGGTTGCCATTTTTATGCCCCATTGGTGTGGTGCTGCTTCGTTTATTAGGTGTTGACAACTTGCGATGTTGCTTTTATGGTGGGGGCTCTCTATGTTGATGAGGCCAGAGTGGAGCATAAAATGATGAAGTGAGCTGAGATCTAACTTTTCTGTCCTTGCTACAATGGAATATCTTTTACTTTATGCGATCGATTCAGTTCCGTCGATGCTTGTGCAATTCATCATGTTAAATTGTTAATCGATGTCACAAATCAGAGACGCGAGGGTGTCCATGTATCGTCTTCCGAGATCCGAGAACACATCAGTACTTCACTCTTCAGCCAATGATAACGGGTTAATTCCTTAAACTAACCTCAACTTTAGATCCGATCCCAATTTTGCTCTCTATGGTGGGGGCTCTCTATGTTGATGAGGCCAGAGTGGAGCATAAAATGATGAAGTGAGCTGAGATCTAACTTTTCTGTCCTTGCTACAATGGAATATCTTTTACTTTATGCGATCGATTCAGTTCCGTCGATGCTTGTGCAATTCATCATGTTAAATTGTTAATCGATGTCACAAATCGAGACGCGAGGGTGTCCATGTATCGTCTACCGAGATCCGAGAACACATCAGTACTTCACTCTTCACCAAAGATAACGGGCTAATTCCTTAAACTAACCTCAACTTTAGATCCGATCCGATCCCAATTTTGCTCGAACCTTTTGTTGTCTAAAAAAAGTTCGCAATTTTCACTCTAGTCCCAAATCTATCCATATGTCTTAAAATTGCCATTGATTTCTTCTGGATTATCAACATCAGGATGTTGCTATTATTCCATACGAAGAAGAGCGCGTTGATGAAAATGCACATTCTGATAATGAACCTCTAACGAGCTTTGATGTTAATAATTTTGAAAAAAAACTAGTGGCGACTTTTGGTCGCGCGGGTAGATTTGGAACTGTAGTGAAAGTTGGAGATTTTTTTTAGACAATAAAAAGTTGGGAGGAATTAGACCTAAAGTCGAGGATATTTTTGGGAAATTGGGCACAAAGGAAACACTTTAGTTGGGTTTTCTATCGTTCCGTCCTCATCTTATCTTTAGTATCAAAGGGAAAAATAATGTGATTGAGATTGGCTAATGAACATAGAATGCTACCTCATGTGTTTTGATGTGCCGAGGATGAAAAGCAAGAATGTGACCGGCAAATATCAATCAATCCTTTTCATTGGGAAATTATCGTGCCGTCGATTAAGACAGCTTGGATTGAAAATGGCACCATCTGAACAGCCTCATCTTTTTCAAGTGTTCCAATCTCAAGTCGAGCCCCACCAAATAGAATTTGGGCTCGAACAAGAGTGTTCATGTGATGGTTCAGCCAAAACATAATGATTCACTCAATCACCATTTTAAGACAATTGAGTGATCGAATTGGAGGTGAATATGAAGCTGAAATTAAAAAGGTTTGGTGAGAGAATCATAGGAAAGAAATGTGGATCTCAATCGGTCACTTTCATAAGGTCAATCAATTACTTGATTGGGCCTTGTTTACGTAGGAATCGTTAAATCCTATTGCAGGCCTAGGCCCATTTGAGCCTAAGTCATTGGCTTTTCATTTCCAAAGTATTTTCGAATATAATGAGACCCATTTGTGCCTTCCGATACAATTTGTTTCAATTAAGTATTTTCTCGAGCTGCAAATTTTATCCTAATGATATTAAAGTGATTATATCGAAAGACGAAATAGTACAAAACATAAATAAATTAATAAATAAGAACTCATAATTGTATCCTTTTTATCCAGGGATAATTCAAATTTAACAAGAACATTATGTCATTCATATCTACTTTTATGGTGGTGCGTGGATGCATATTGCCACTTTATGAATCTCCTAAAAGAAAAATTTCTAATTCCTAGAATACCTTTTTCTTATAAAATTTGGAAACTCCATTTGTGTAATATGGACTTGTATGTAATGAATGTGGCTAATAATTTTAAAAAAAATTGCAAAATATGGTTGGTTCAGCTGATGAAAATTTAGTAAAAGTCCTAGACAAAAAATCTAGGCTATTGCCTAACATATAATAGACAAACGACCATGTCCAGTGAATTCAACCCGATATGCAATCTTCCTACTTGCTAAGAGATACATTTGAAAAATAAACCCTATATTTCATGACAAGGTATGATCGAATCATTAGACTTCTTCTCTCCGACACCCTTATGGACAATATGTTTCTATATTTATGGGGAGGTCCTTTCAGATTAGTCAAGCCTTCATGGATCATATATTTTTGTTGAGAACATAATGTATAGTTATGTAATTATAGTTCAAGTAGCTGATCTGAGGAGTTTTATAATTTTTTTTGATGGTTTTATACCACAGCATATAAGAATCGACATTAAAGTCGTATTCTATTCGGGCGTGTGTCACGCCCATGCTACCCGCACATAACATTTTGTGCAAAATAATGACATGATGTGTTTTCCATGAGATGTAATGCCATGATTGCCATCACCTTTTGTCAGATGACACGTATGCATGGTATAACTTATAAGCGTCTTGATTTATGTATCTAACTTTTTAAGTAATATCTTATGTGCATGGTCATGCATGTATCCGAGTTCCAATTCCATATGTTGCTCCTTTCTCAATCTAATCTCTTATCCCTTTTTTTTTAATTTTTTCAGAAAGATAAATAAATCTTTTTGGTTAATACCACAAAAAACCCTAAACTGATATACTTGTGATAAATTTACTCGGAACTAATTTTTTGACTACCAAAAACCTCAAACTTGTACATCTGTGATAAATTTACCCCGAACTAATTTTTTTACCACAAAAAAACCCAAATTGATACACTTGTGCTAAATTTCCCTTCTGTTAAATTGGATTAATACCACGAAAAATCACAAATTGATAAACCTGTGACAAACATAGGGGTAAAACCCCAAACTGATGCATCTGTCAACTGTCACGTGTCATCCAACTCAGCAATTTAATAGTAAAATTTAACAGAAACTAACATAGGGTAAATTTGTCACGGGTGTACAAGTTTGGAGTTTTTGATGGTCAAAAAATTAATTTAGGATAAATTTGTCACATGTATACTAGTTTGGGGTTTTTCGTGGTATTATCCTTACTTAAAAGTTGGTACCCTTTTTGGAATTGAGTTTCTCATTTATGTATTTTTCTCTTTTGGCCAATCCTAACCGCGAAAGTCGAAATCCGCTAAAACCGGCGGCACTTCCAATTATGTGGTTTAGGAGGAGCACCCACTAGCCACTAGGACATGTTTGTTGCGAGATTATGTTTGGCTTCTTAAGCAAAACAAATGGATTAACTAAAGTTTTCAAGTTGTCACGTATTGATTAGCAATATTTTGAGGTTCGAGCTCTCGTACATTTCATTTAAAATAATCCGTGACCCATTTCACATGGGCCTTACGCGGGTCATCCTAAGAATTTGTCCACGTCCGCAATCTCTTTAAGCCTTTTGCGATCACTAGTTTTGATCTTAAGGGATTAAATATTGCGAAACCAAGCGAGGAGACTAAGGAAGGAGCTCCATAATCGTGGCTTAAGCAAGAGATATTTGGCACGATGACGGGAAGAAGTGACGACCATTCAGAAATGTTTAATTCACAATGCTAGTGGCATTAATGTCACAGCATGGATTCTTGGTGAAATTACCTCACTTGCTTTGACTACTAATCCTGTCTTGTGATCATCTTTGTGTGGTGAAATTGAAGAACACATGTATTTATGGTGGAGATAAAAAAAAAAAAAGAAGACAAACTAGGGTTTTCCTCATATCAAGTGGTCCGACATCATAGCATGGAAAACATACAAACATGTAAAAAAAATTATTTCGAGTGTCTTTTCTTTTGGCTGTTAATTAAGGATGTGGGTTTACGTATTACTTTATTCCGACTCGTAAGATTTTCTATCGTGTCGATAGCGAAGTTCTTCAATTCTCGGTATTTTTTGGATGTGAGTTGCTTTTAAACGACGAAGTGATGAGGGGGGTAGAGGTTGGTCTAAGGAGGAAACCATTTTAGAAAGATCAGAGTAGCAAGTTTGCAACCATAGAGGTACTACACATTTTTATTACAAAAACTCCATACGAATTGTGGATTCATGCATCAACACATATGGAAATTTGTAATTAATTACTTAAAACATCCGGTCCAAAAACAAAGTAGATGACTACGTTTCGTCGACTACGATACTGTTTACCAAACATCGTCTTACATATGCACTATTTTTCTCGAATGAATAACTGCTGGGATAATAAGTGTCGTCTATAATACCCAGTTATCTCTGTATATTCTCTAACAATTAGTCCAAGAGGTATTCACAAACCTTTGGAAAATCACGTATTTTTCAGTACAATATTTAGTTTGATGCACAAAATTGCCTAACAAAAATGATATGATTCTAAATAAAGTTGACATGTATAACGCGAAATCAATAAATTATACCAATTGCTACATCTATGGATAACTACTCTTAACACTTTGGTTGATCTATAGAAGAAGGTGCAAATTACCATTCCGGTGACCTTTCCAATGTAATACTTCATATGTGCAGTGGACTAATGACATGAAGAAAGGAACAAATCGGGGAGTCAAGGCAAGAGCAATTATTTCTCTTTTATATATATATTCTCACGAGAACATGGCAAGCCCCAAGTATACAATTCTCTAGTTTACTCGGAGACTTGGGGCCGACCGATACCTTTGGTGGTTTGTTGCTCCCATAAATGTCTGTATCGCACACAGAACGCAGAGAGAGACCAGAGGGGCCGAAGCTGTCCTTGTAAGAAGACGACCCCCCTTTCTGAACAAGAACACAGTCACTTCTCTACTTAAAGAAAACAAATTTCCCTGTCTGTCTCGACAAAGCCAAAGGCAGGTGAAGCCAAGGCATAGAAACTGAGGCATTCGGATCCAGGAAGATGAAGAAGATCGTGAGAAGTGCAAGTGCAGAAGCAAGAGATTCCAAGACTATAAACAGAAGTCTTTCATGCACAAGGGTAAAGGGTCACCTGAAAGATCAGAAAGGTAGGCTCGACATCATTAGACGCTGCGTCTACATGCTCCTTTGCTGGCGCGATTGACCTCTAAGGAATGATGTGCTATTTTGATGAATTGATTATCTCTGAGATCACATACAGTCTCTCTAGACCTAACATCGGAGCTCGATT